TGCGTCCGCCATGCCGTTACTTTTCAACAGTCCGTAAAGTTGCATTTACAGCTGATAAGTATCCACATATTAAACGCAACCCTAACTTTAAAGAGGTAGGTTGTCATTTCGTTTTCACGACGTCGACTTATAATACTTCTTTGTCCCGCGCTTATGCTATTCCTATCTCACTTCTTCTCTCCTGATTCGTCTGACAGATAAACGATGAGGACGTTTCCTACTTGGCATCGATTCTCTCTCAAAATGCACTCATCGTTGATAATGGTACAAATTCAAGCGATTTGACACCGTTTAATGTTGACTGGATGGGAAAATACAGGGGTAAGTCTCGCGTCGTTGTGAGACCGAGATCTGCTGAAGAGGTTGCAAAAGTATTGAAATATTGCGGAGAGAAGAGGTACGGAATTGATGCGTTTTACGGAATAAATAACGCTATCATTAGGCTCATCCGATATACACATCGTTCGATTTAGAATTGCAGTCGTACCACAAGGAGGAAATACTGGACTTGTTGGTTGGTTGGATATTAACCATTTTAATGTCGCTCGTACTATTTATGACCCATTTTTTGAATTTCAGGTGGCAGCGTTCCAGTATTCGATGAAATAGTAATAAGCACGAATTATCTCAACAAAATCAGAAGTTTTGATCCGGTCGCCGGTACGTAAAAATAGATTTTTGGTTCATTTATGTATTACATTATTTTAAAAGTTGAATACGTATTAGGAATCCTTGTATCCGATGCCGGTTGCGTTCTGGAAGTATTAGACAATCATCTCGCCGAGCATGGATATATGATGCCATTGGATTTGGGGGCAAAAGGAAGGTAAATAATTATGGGACACATTCTCATTCCTATATGAGTTTAAAAGTTTACTCTTATAGTTGTCAAGTCGGAGGAAATGTTGCTACTAATGCAGGAGGTTTGAGATTTCTTCGCTATGGTTCCTTGCACGGATCCGTACTAGGATTGGAAGTGGTAAGTTTAATTGGATTAATAACGAGTGTATTGCTGATGAATTTAAGGATGTTATTGTTGACTACTTACGTTCAGGTTCTACCCGATGGAACTATATTGGATAATTTGTTGACTTTGAGGAAGGATAACACTGGTATGCCCAAAACGTCACAAAGTCGAGGAGGACAGTTTACTGACCAGACTTAAATTTGTGTAGGTTATGATTTGAAACAATTGTTTATTGGCTCCGAAGGAACTCTTGGTATTATTACCGGTGTCTCAATTGCTACGCCAAAAAGGCCAAAGGTAGTGTCAATATTAGTTAATACGATTTTTCAGAAATTTTACTAAATCACTATTATCTGTAACGGGACGACGCCCAGGCTGTGAATGTTGCAGTATTCGGCCTGTCTTCGTTCGAAGACGTTCAAAAGGCATTCCTGAAATCAAAAGAAGACTTAACAGAAATACTTTCAGGTTTGTTGATTAAATTTTATTCGTATTGGAACATACGATAGAATGATTCTCATAATGTTAGTTTTCTCCAATAGCCTTTGAGTTTTGGGATTTTGCGGCACTGCAACTATGTCAATTGTATGGAACAAATAGATCCGAATTTCCGCTGGGCCAGTATCCGTTTTACGTTCTCATGGAGACGAGCGGATCGAATAAGGAGCACGATGATGAGGTAGTTATTTTTACCTGTTGATGCTTACTTTGCTCAACTGACGTAAAGTAATAATTTAAACAGAAACTCGCGGCTTGTCTGGAGAGCCTAATGGATGCGTCAATTGTTCAAGATGGTGTTATTGCGCAAGACATATCCCAGATGAATAATCTCTGGTCGTTCCGTGAAGATATTCCTGAAGCAACCCACAAAGCAGGAGCAGTGTACAAGTACGATATATCGCTACCAGTACCTGTATTGTATAAGATGGTTGAGGATATGAGGAAACGACTTGAAGACAGTGGATCTTTTGGGAAAGATAAAGCTATTACACATGTTATCGGATTTGGCCATCTAGGAGACGGTTGGTAACCGAAAATAATTTGATGGAAGGACTTATTGAGGACTATGTTGACATTTCTTTGGCTATAGGCAATTTGCATCTGAATATTACAGCGAAAGAATATGACGAGGACGTAACTAAGCTTATTGAGCCATATGTTTATGAATGGACGGGTAAGTCAGTTGAATCTTATAATCACTTCGATTGTATTAATAATATTGTCGTTGTTTTATTTTATCTAGGAAAGTACCGAGGCTCGATATCAGCAGGTAATTTTACAAAGTGATATGAAGATTGATTGGACACTATCTCTAATATGAATATTACAATTTTAATGTAAAAGAACACGGGTTGGGTCTAATGAAAGCCAATTATCTCGGATATTCAAAACCCAAACCCATGATTGAATTGATGCGAATGCTCAAGAAAAGTATCGATCCGAATGGAATAATGAATCCTTACAAGTTTTTGCCCAATTGAATGTATGAAGTAATTTATTAGACGATGTCTTTGTCACTACGCCAGTATGACCTTTACATCATCCGATTATTGACCAAATATATGCCTCCCGCGGCACATCTCCTCTAAAAATGCCATAGAAATATGGCTTCTGCGTTTGAGATCATTGCTATTGTTGCCAACGTTCTGGCAACAAACCATACGTAGAAAACGTTCAGCTGGTGCAACGTGTAGTTTGTTTATTGATACCTAAAAAACAAGTTAGACGTATTTTAATTTCACTCACTTTTTATTATTTGCTCGGCAATTACAGACAAACCGCGTTCTCTAAATGGAAGGTTTTTTCATGGTAACGAGTTTGGTACGGTAAATGCACATCCTCTGTATTAATATACACTACAATAACAATAACCACAACATTTTCCTTCGCTCCACTTGTCCATTCGACCAAAAGACTTCCATTCAACCGCCACTCGTTTACCCCGCAAAAGAACCTCATCGCGTAAATTATAATTTTTTAAATGCACGCACATATCGATGTTAATATTCTCTTCGTAATCGAAATTTTGATATTACAACTATTAGTACCAGTCGTACAAGTGAACATCTTGAAAGGTTTGGCGGAAAAAAATACTTTAAAATAATATATCGACATACTTATCCATATTGTTAAATTCGTTGCGTGTTGCAAATAATTATCGTTATGCGAGAACGATTTAAAAATACGACTGTCTAAGGAGCGACTGAGAGAAATATAGCAACACCAATTGGCAAATTAAAGTTCTAAATATTACTTTGGTAATCATCTGTGGCTTACAATCATTATATCGGTGACAAAGAGGTATTGTTTTTTAGTATGAAATAGGACAATCATTTTTTAGTTAAGCGGTTTAAGTAATGAGGGATACAGACAAGAAGATAAAGAAATTTTATACTAGTCAAAAAA